GCCTAAATTGCCCTTAAATCGATATATATATATATATATATATATATATATATATATATATATATATATATATATGTAATATCAATAACTGTAACAAGTGCATAACAGCATTAATAGAACACAGACATACCTCTCGTACGTCTATGGGAAAGGGTCGCGGAAAGGGGACGTGATTGCTGCCCGTATCATCATTGGGTATGACTTTGCTTGGGAGATTGGTATCCCCGCATCCCCTGAGCAACGCTCTTGTGCATTATGCAGAAGACGCGACAGCAGCACCCTTATCCACTACCTCCTAAGATGTCCCCACACACAATGCTTCCGTGACGCCTGCTGGACCACCACTCCACGACCCCCTGACGGAGACACGATGATCCTTCCCATACTGGCCAGATATTTTGTAAATAACATTGATTATGTGTTAAAGGAATACCCTTCCTTCCTTAGGCTTTAGTAAGCCCCTTTATAATATTTATACTGTATATACTTGTCACACTTGCCAGATGATTCTGGTCTCATTGTACAGGGGTACCTAGTGACAGCACTAGGATCCCGCTTCCTCTATCAAGGAATAAACAATTGAAATTGAACACAGACATTATGTAGGCAGACGTGTGTTGTTTTGAGATTATTCATCCCCTTCCCATGTCACAGTGGAGGGATAGTCAAGCTCCAATAACAATGCAGGGGAGGATGTGGGCAGCTCAAGATCACTGCGAGAAGTTGAGGGCATTGGCTGATCTGCTGACGATGTTGATGCAGAGGTTTTCTTAAGAACATGTTGCTTCTTAAGCTGCTGGGGTAATCCACGTATAGTTGAAACCACGTAAGAAAAATACACATAAGTTGAGAGTCTACTGTACTTTACAGTCACCCAACAAATAGTAAAGGTAGTGCTGGCAGGCAACTGAAAAGGTATAGTCTCAAGACAAACCTGAAAAGGTGCCAAATCGACCCCTTCACCTGGGAGATAATGCCGGAAAGACACTGCCGCCGCCCCTCCGGCACTAGATGTAGCGCTCCACACCTGCAACAACTATGGATGACCCTGCCGGTCCCGAATCGGCCTCTCTAGTCACCATAGAGCAACAGCAAAGTAGTAGGCCTCTACATCCAAGGATAATGTCTGGCAAGAAAATTTTCTGGAATCTGTGTAGGAAAGAATCCAGGTTCATTCATTCTATTCCTATGAGGTAGAGATCTGCTAATATTGTTTGAAGGACCCCTTGGTAAAAGTGATGGAGTTCCTCCAAGCGTAGCCCCAGACTTTGCAGTCATGGTTCATACCCTGAGAATAGCTGGTGGTAACATTTCTAACTGTGGGTCTTTAGAGTTATACAAGAAAGTGTCTGGTGTCAGCCATTCCTTTCACTTGTTTTTTCTTGAGCTTTTGAACTTAAGTCATATTTGTAGATCAATTTCCTCAACGTTGACCTTCCAAAGCTGAAGGTTGAACCAAGGGGTGACCTGTTGATTCAACTTGAGAATCTGATGTACCCCTTGGCATTGATTTTATTCAAACCACCACCACCTCTCAATATCAGATGCTCACTTAGATTTTTCCCTATATTGTTCAAAAGGGAAAAGCTTTACTCCCAATATCTGTGCTAGAGCCATAGTTTCAACTGGGGAGATAGATAAATGTTTAGACTAGTCTTGGCTGCTAATGTTAGTGTACACAATTATTCTTTTGCTTCCTTATGTAGGATGGCTGGCTGGCTGTAAATTACAGGTGTATTTCAAAATGGACCAGATACTATATGTGGCACTTCCTCACCAGAGATATCCATTGTTAAAATATCTACAAAAGAAGTTGAAGCAGACTTTAACTAGAAATATAGTATGTTAGGAAATTTAGCTACAAAGGTGTAGAGAGAGAGAGACAGTTGATTGGTGCCTGAAATATCACTTGTCACTATTCAACTGGGAAATCTATAAAATTCTTCATATCACCTCCCTAAATTTAAAGTGATAGAAATACATTTTGTATTCCTAAATCCTTTAAATGGAGTAAACAAATATCAATACTCTGGGATTGTTCATTAGTAAGCAGCTTAAACCCATTTTTAACACAACAGAAGATTACATACATGGGCAATATGTTTATATGTTTAATTCTCAGAATAACGATCCATTAGATGGTTAACCAATTACAATACTGTACTGTCTTAATTCCCAACACAATCTACAACTATCAGCACCATTCATATGTTGTACTAACTTTCTACACTATAAAAACAAAGTAAATAAAAAATTTGCATATATGTATTAAAATCACAGACTGGAATTACAAATCCATCACAGATTCAACAGATTGCTAGTAACTGAATCAGAGGCTAAATATATACAGTATTCTATAATATAAAATGTTTAGTAATAGTGTAATGCCATACTGTACTTGCAATATGTGCTAATGCATACAGTTAACCCTCACTTTACGCGGTTAATGTAACCCGGAGGGTACCGCGGAAAGTGAGGAACGCGTAAAGTGAATAACATAACATATGGGATTAATTGAAATGGAGTCCGGGCCGATCCCCAAACTCCACTTTTTGACGACACACAACTATGTTGTAATAAAAATTTTATCTTAACTTTATGATGGTATGAAAAAACAAGTAATATAGAAGAGGTTAGGTTAGGAAAGATAAAGGTTAACATAGGAAAAATAAAGGTAAGGTTAGAAAACTAAAAATTAGGTGTAACACTTACGGTAGTAGAAGAGATGGGTCGGCATACGGGGATGGAGGCTGGTTCCGAGGCAGAGGGCAGATTACTGGCCCTCAGGTGAATCACCATCACTGTCACTTACAGTTGTCAGGGCTTCCCTGACAAATCCCTCAAAGTCAACTTCACTATCACTATCACTGGCTTGGGCTGGCTGTGGTGGGTTGCGGGCGAAGAAATCTGTTATGCTTTGCTGACGGCTGGCGTTGATGTTGTCGTGATACACCTTGATGTACGGCTCCATAGCCTGCACCAGCCGGATATGGAAGACTTCATAGCGGTCATCGTCATTGTCGCGGGAAAGGAAGGACTTCATCTTCTCTGCACACTCCATGGCACCCTTAATATCACTATGACTTAAATTGTGTTCTTCGGAGACTGACGCACCTTCTTCCTCCTCTTCACTGACGTGTTCTTCTTCCAACATCTCGTCGGCAGTCACTTCAGGATCTCTGATCACCTCCAGGATGTCGTCGTTGGTGGTCTCGGAGAAGCCTGGAACTGTAACAGTCTGCGCAGCTTCTCTGGCAAGGTCCACTGCTACTGCAACATTCTGAACCTCACCAGTCACAGATTGACTCCTCCTCTCACCTGGTATTCCATGCAACACATGTCTCCATGCGTGACGAATTGTAGCAATAGACAGCTGATCCCATGACTCCACCAAGAAGTCCACAGCTTTCTTGATGTTAAATACTCTCCAGAATTGTTTGAAGAGTATTTTTTGCTGTTCTAACTGTTGATCCTCATCTTCTTCGCTCTTGCTATCGGTGGTGGTGTCACTCAGGTTACGCAACTCTTCCCTGGTGTTGGTGTAGTCGTTCAGGAGCTGGAATTTTTTTGTTGAGAATGCAGCTTTCACATTGCAAATCAACTCCTGGTCCATGGGCTGGATTAAAGACGTAGTGTTGGGAGGAAGGAAGACCACTTTTACGTTGGGGTGACGATCTAACAGTAGGGGCGAGTGTCCTGGTGCGTTGTCCAGCAGCAACAAAATATTAAATGGGACATTCTGTCGCTCACAGAATTTCTTTACATCGGGAACAAAACAGTCATCAAACCAGGAGAGGGACAGTGTAGAGAACATCCATGCCTTACGTGCTGTCAGCCAGTGGACATTTAGCTTGGTCATGTCCATGCTCTTGTAGGCGTGCGGCTTGCGGGCTGTGTGGATCACCGATAACTTGAGCTTACAGGTACCGGAGGCATTGGTGGTAAACAGGACGGTGATGCGTTCCTTCTGCATTTTCCGGCCCCGAATCCTGCTGGCATTCTTCACAACGAAGGACTTGGAAGGTAGTTTTTTCCAGAAAAGACCAGATTCGTCCATGTTAAACACCTGGTCGTCACTGTACTGTCCTTCCTCCATAATCTCACGTAAAAACGGAGGAAATTCCCGAGCCGCAGCACGATCAGCACTCGCTTCTTCACCACCAATGTTTATATTGGTGATCTTGTTCCGGATCTTAAACCTCTGTAACCACCCAGAGGAAGCATTAAAGGGTTTGGGCTCTGAAGTTCCCATCTTTCGTGCCACTGCCATGTACAGTTCACGTGCGTTGTCCTTAACAGAGCGCGTGTCGACCGCCATGTTCCGTCGCGCCTGACGCACCAAGTACCTCACAAGTAATTTTTCTGTCTTGAGAAGCACCTGGTTGTGAAAATACTTGATCATAGAAGCACCTGTAGACTTTGTGATCTTCACGTGCTCCTTTATCTTGGCTGAATCCTTCTTTATAGTCCGGATCGTAGATTCGTTCACGCCATGCTGGCGCGCCAAATCAACCTGCCTTGTTCCTTTCTCCAACTCTTGGATGATGCTATATTTCACCTCGTAGCTTAAGGAACGTCGTGTCTTCTTTGGTTTAGTGCCGCTGGGTCCAGGTAAGGAAAGGTTTCTCTCTGGGGGTGGTGGTCCGGCGGAAGCCATTTTACGGAACAATGGATGCACGATTACATGGTGTGGCCTTGAGGGATGAAACTGCCGCGGCTAGGTCAAGCGTCGTCTTTCCTCCCTCCCTCCCTCCCTCCCCCGGGTGGACACGTCATAATACTTTAAGCCAATTACAGCTAGCAGCAGAGGGGGGTAGGGATGCATGGCCAATCACAGGTCTGATACGTCATATGACGTCAGTGATAACGCAACAAAGACACACACTGCGCAACCTTACCGCGCCGCTTGCCCAAGCGGAGGGAGGAGGAGGGAGAGGCAGGCGGGCAGGTGGCGGGTGGGGCGAATCTAAAAATAGCGTCGCGCCGGGGACACTCCGCGTAATGTGAGCACGTGAGGTTCTGGCAAGGCACCGCATTAACGTGGAAACACGGAATGCGGGACCGCGTAAAGTGAGGGTTAACTGTATACAATACCTGTATATGTATGTGTAGGTAGGTGGAATACCACTGCTGACTTTACTTTGACTAACATACCAACTTCCTCCTGGGCCTGTAGTATGAGATGAATCCCAGTAGGAAACAAACTATCAAATCACTGTGGTATACATCAACTGCCAACAAATATGATAATCATACTAACATATTATTTATTAGTCAATAAAAGTGGCATGGTTGAAAAAATAACAAAATTGCAATTCCAACATCACAAACAAGTTACACAAGTGTTGTTTCAGTTACACCATGCAATGCTAACTCCTTTAGAACATTGTCTAGGTAGTTAGGATCAGGATATCCATGGCCATTGTAATTTGTCCACTCAGTTTTGTGGTGGATCTCGTTCCAAGTGACAGCATCCTGTATCCCCATTGTGACAGATGTGCCAATAGTAAACACGAGGCGTCGACGCCAAGCTTCCCTCAACAGTTTTAACACCTGAAACATTGCATTACAGTACTTATAAGTAGTGAAGCATTATGCAGTAGCTACACACAAAGTAATAATAAAAGTAAAAGTGAGAAGAAAAATAATGATTGTTAATTCCTCACCAAATTTCACCATCAATGTAAGGGTTAATTGACTGCCAGTCAGGAGTTGGCTACAGCTATACAATATTTTAGAAATCCAGAGGCAAACCTTCTAAACGAGACAGTAAAGATAATGGTTGAGAAATAAATGAGAAACCGAGAAATAAATAATTCAGTATCAGATAAAACAGAAATGACAGATTAATGTGAAGATGAATGATGTTGATAGCTTCAGTCTGTTTCACTCAATTTCCCTACCTCTTGTACTGCCACTGAGCATATACCTATCCAAAAATTACACTGGAAATAATGAATTTTCCAAATACCTTCTTGCCCTTCTCACTGTTGGGCAAATATGCAATGCGAGGAAAACCAACAGCATGGTAAGGTCGTCCTGGGCGAGGATGTTCTGGACCTTGTACTCCATTGTTAATGCTGTAGACCAAGGGAAGAAAAAAAATATGAGCAAATTTATACACACAAATTTATAATTAAAATACAAGCAGACCCAAACTTATGAGGGTTAATATCCTGAAAAAACATTTTGTAAATTGAAGCACATTTTCCCATAAGACACCCATTATAAAACCTGCAATAAGCTCATAAAGAGAGTCACAAATCATGGATTTTTTAATTTTTGGTGTACAAAATGATTAAAAGATAATAATGAACAAGTACCTTGTTGAAGTGGTACTGACATTATATGAGGGCACCAAAACCTCTGTCAGAGTACATTTAGAGGAATTTAAGGTGAAAGTGGAGGTCCATATGGGATCTGTCTTGAGCACCTTTCTGTTATCATGGTGTTGGAGGCAATATCATAAGACTTTAGGACTGGCCTACCCTAGAATTGTTGGATACTGATAACTTATTGCTGATAGCAGATAGTATTGAAGAGGCAGAGGAGAAATTTTAAGAAATGGAAGAATGCAATAGTCAAGGGCTGAGAATGAATATGGCAAAAGTAATGATTAATGATGTGAGTAGGGGAGCCGTAGTGGAAAGTTGAAAATGTTTATGTACTGTCTGTAAGAAAGGTGTTGGCAACAATTCAATAATGTGCAAAAAGTGTGGAAGGTGGGTACACAAGAGGTGCAGTGGGGTGACATGATCACAGCCCGTGTGTAAGCTGTAGTCTGCTCAATTGAAAATAAAACTTACTTATATGTGATCTGTATAGTATTACAGTTAGGATGTCCAGGAAGAGATCCTGACACACTAATGACGTCCATGCGGCCATTGGGCTGATTTCCAATCTTCTCTCCGTGTAGAGTTTTGCAATTGGGGCATTCCAGAAACTGAGGAGAGGCTTTGGCCATTTGTCTCACACATGCCAAGTGAAACAGATGATCACACAAAACCAAACTCACAACACCATCACTCTTGAGACCTACAATATAAATATATCCACATCAAAAATCAAGTGATCTTGTGCATTAGTTACATTACTGAAAACCTTTTCAAGTACATTAATGACACATCATTGATTGATAAACAATAGAAGAATTATCCCCTTCTCTATCATTCCATAACACTTATAAAAATTCTACATATGACATTCATCATTTTACATAAAGTTGTTGTTTCTGCCTTTTGTCCAGGAGGTAAAGTGTGATCCTTGACTTGCTGAAGTGACATTCCAAGTATTTGGCTCAGTTTTATGTTCTATTCCTCTTGGGAAACATAGGTATATGAACATCATTTTTTCAGTACAAAAAGATGTAACACTCTACCTGCTGTATGTGCAGGAGTGGCAACTGCTTCATCCTCATCAGAGTAACCTGAGGGTTCCTGTAAACTCCACATGCATATTGAACACATCTCATCAGGAGGTGATGTTACTACACTGGTGTGCTGAACCAGCAACTGTAAAATGGAATTCAAAGTTAAGTTTTATAGTGGGCGTATATTTTTTTTAATTATTTAATAAATCTACTTTATAAATAGTAATACTACAGTAAACTCTGTGATCTGGTACTCTAGACACCAATAACCTTTGGAAAGCAGCAAATATCCTAATAAACATGGCCAACTCGCGGCCCGAACCATGTTTTTGTGTGGCCCGCAGAATGATTGAGAAATTCTATTTATTGTGGCCCACAGTTTAGGTAGATGCAGCCAGTTTATGGTGAGTAAAGCAATATTCTTTAAAAGAATATTCTTCATACACAATTCATTTCCGTTTCATCACCTAAGAGTAAGTAACTACAAAATGTAACGGCAAAATACGTATAAATAGTCAACACTATAAACATTTTAACGAGTGAGTTTACGGTCTGTTTGATGGATTAGCTGCTATGTGGCAGCGGATCACTTGGGCATTAACTGTGGTAGGTTAAAAAAAAAAAAATACTTTTTCTTTAATGAAGTATTGTACTAGGGCATTTTTGTATAGTGAAAATTAATTAATTAATACAGTCAGTCCTTGACTTACGACGGGGTTAGGGACCGACGACCAAGTCGTAAGTCGAAAATGCGAAAATGATACATAGAAAATCTAAAATGGGTGTCTCGTTTTCATCTCGGCACCACGAGAACTATTATTTTTACACTTGCCAGCCATTTTAAAGGGAATTACAAAAAAAAATTTTGTCAGTACAGTGAGTTCTGCTATAACGCGTGTTTTGATAACGCGAATTTGCTCTAACGCGATTTATGAATTAGGAACGATATTTGTATAACGCGAACGCTTGTTTGCTATAACGCGATTTTTGCTTACTATTTCTCCAATTTTGTGGTACAGTGGGGTATGCTATAACGAATCTAATTGGTTCTAGAACCTTGTTCGTTATAGCATTCGTTCGTTATAGGATTAATCCGTTCCAGGCCCCCAAATACAACCACTTAACACTTAAAAATATAATATAAAATTGTAAAAAAGTGCATAAATATGCATCTAAACCCCTGAAATAAAGAATATCATTAATATTTGTAATAAAAAAACAATAAATTAGAAAAAAAAAAAATTAAATAATGTTCGTTGTAGGAGTTTCGTTCGTTATAGCATTCTCAATTTTATAGGTAAAACCATTCGTTATAGGAATATTCGTAGTAGGATCCATTCGTTATAGCATACCCCACTGTATTAACTGTGAATATAGTAAAGAAGAATATCAACAAGAAGCGTTCTGGTGATAGAATTCCCGGTGATGATCGTAAAAGAAAGGCTATAACCCTTGAAGAGAAGCTCGATGTTATCTACCTCAAAATCACCCTTCTCCCTCATCAAGTTATATTCATATTTTTTCAAGGTAAAGTGTTACATTTACTGTATGATTTCATTATTAGATATGAATGTAACATTTATTTAGACTGTGCTATCCTTTGTGTTAGGCTAACTACTAATTTTTTTTCGATTTCGAGTAGTAATCTGCACCTAACCCTATTTTCTCCATAAGCCCTGTTATTTCTATTACGCGATTTTCTATAACACGATATTTTACAAGAACACAATTATCGCGTTATAGCAGAACTACCTGTACACCGCGCGATCACTAACGTCGGGACTGGAAAATACGTAATTTTAAAAATATTTTATACGACTGCGGCGGTATTATGTCCGGGTTGTCGTAAGTCGAGGAGTACCTGTATTGACCTCGGAATATCTTCTATTATCAAATGCCCATGGCTTCAAAATGGCCTCAAAATGCCCACGGCATTGGTCAGATTTAAAAAAAAATCTTCGGGGGGAGGGTTTACAGCGCCCCCAAAACCCCCTCAGCTGGGTGGGCTAGCTATGTTCCCCCACCCAAAACTTTTTGGATATCCCTGGATCAGCCCCTGACACGGGTCAAAGGTAAACGTCTCTCCCTAGGTGACAGACTGTCTCTCCATAGTACCTCATCCTTCATGCCTATAAAATAAATAGATGTGCCCAAGGTTTTTCCTTGCAGTTGCTCATGCACCAAGATTAACATTGACATTATTTTGGTGGGGGTGTCTCATAAGTAAGGAAAATTCTGTAACTGTAGGAAAAATCAACGTATTCACAGACTGCTTCACTCATCTTCCGTTAAAGGTCAAGAAACATTAACATTTTACTTAAAAAAAATATTATGATGGATTTGCTTCATAAATGGGAAAAAAACTTATTGTAAACTGAAAATATAGTTAGGTGGACGTGAAGCTATTGTTTCACTATCCGCGCTAATACAATATTAACATTACTTTTGGGTTAGGTAGGATATAAATTTTGGTGGGTGGCCCTCAGAAAAATACCTAAACTGTAATGCAGTCCATGACTGAGGAAAGGTTGCACATGCCTGTCTTAAAAGAACCAACAAGGCTCCAGCATTTCACACTTGGGTAGACCGAGCAAATAGTTATATGGAGCAACCTACCCATATAGCATCATCAGTTTATGACTTGTAGCATACAGTCTGGTGGTCCATCACTTCTTTATCTGTGAATTCCATGAGGACTGTAACAAAGTGAACGAAGTACTGACAAATCCTGAAGGATAATTGTAATCATCTTTATTGTATGTTAAGCACCAGACATTGCTGTTGTGACCTCAAGGGGGAGGCACGTTATCCCCCAACAAGTGTGGCCCATATTGTGGTAAATTTGTATGAAAGGGACCTAGCATTTATTGGGTTTAAATAAAGTGTGGCCCCCAAAGCCCCAGTTGTAACACTTTACCAAAATTTTAAATTACTAGTTGACCCCACCAGTAACAGTGCAAGTAAGAGAGAGAGACGACTCCTGGTGTATTTTTTGCTCCACCTTCTGGTGTTTTTTGTGAGCAACTTGGTGATCTTGAAGGATGTGTTGTAGAGGGAGGCTGGATTCTACTGACAGACATATTTAGTGACTGGCATCCAGAAACAAAGCCCACGTTTACTTGAAAATACTTGGTATGTCAACATAATTACTTATGGTAGATTACAAGTGTGGCACCCTCCATGTTCTTGCAGTATTGCAGATTATTCTTGAAATTATCATAATTATTATTATTTAGCATTGTTCCCTTAAACTAAAACCGGAAGCATGACCACTTTTTATTTAGTTTGACCTAAGAAGAAATCACTACCCCTGAAGGAGAAGCGGTTAAACATTACCATTATTTCTATCTTACAATTGATGCAATCATAGTCTTTGCTTAATTAAAGATCATGCTGAACAGATCATAAAGGCAGAGGTACACTTCAGGAGAGTAACAGATATGCTTCAGCACACACAAAAAATTGATGGAGGAGGAAATAGAGTAGAAGATTTACCTGATCTTCTGCAGCAATTGGTGCCCTGGATCCATGCTGAGATCTGTGGTGTGAAAAACGATGCTGGTTTTGCTTCCCGTAAAAACGAGAGTTCTGAGAAACCTCATCATTATTGCCATCTCCAGAAGCACCCATATGAGGATGACCAAACATAGTCTGCTGGCCCCACTTCCGCTTGACGCCGTTCATCTGCGGAGCCACATCTGAACTTGGCAGAGCTGCATTGATAGGCATGAAGTGGCTCTGTTGTTGGGGGGTACTCTGTAGATGAGAGATGGAAACTGAAAAAAAGTGTTTAAACCCTCTTCATACTGGGAAAGTCTGATGATCCCATGGCTAAGTAAACCTGTTACACATAAGAGTAAATCACTGGTACATCATGCCTACCAAAAGAAAACTAAACAAGATGAAAAAGAAGCAGCTTGACAAAATTAGTTTCTGAGTTGTAAGTCTGAATGTTGGTAGTATACTGGGAAGATATGGTGAGATTTTCAAGACGGTGTGCCATAGAAAGGTGGTATGCCTGTTGAGTAGTAGTACCCTAATCAACATGAGAGAACTCTCAGAATCAATACAAGATTAAATCAATGTTTTTACGAAAGATTACACACCACAATGAAGAGTACAATACCTGGTTCTGTGTGTGATGTGGCACAGAATGGCGGCTGTATTGGTGCTGATGGTGGGAGTGTGAGAGAGTAAGTGGAGAAGGTGCTCGAGGAGGAGAGGAATGGTCTGCTACACCTCTCATAACATCACAAACCTCCTGGTCCTCACTAAATACATCATCATCCATGCTCTCATCTGAGTCCACTTTTATCAGCTTGTCAACAACAGGACTGCAAGTAGCTCTGTCTCAAAAGATATACAGGTAGTACTACACTATGTAGTAATTCATACAAGGCATTACAGAAATGGTTCAGCGAAATACAGGTACTAAAATTTGGCCAAGAAAAATAGAAAAAAGTATCTGATGAAGTGTGAGAAGCCAACAAAGGTGGTAATAGCTGTGGATAGTTTAAGCACAGATGTACAGCCCGACACTATTATGCTTTATTTCACAAGGAGAAATTTAAATAGGGGTCATCACAAGTTACCTACAAGAGAACCCAACTACTTAAGTCTCTGTATTACAAGGGTAAAATATTTCCTACTGTTCACGTTGTTTTCAATCTCGCACAGTTTGTTGTAAATACAAGTATAAAATCATTGATGCACTGTACTGTACTGAAAGTATTTTATTTATTATGTTTATTATTGGCATATCAATGTATGTACTTACAGAAACAACTCTCACTGCAAGCATCTCTTCACATCTGGAGAATTCTTGTCGACTTGCACACAGTTTAAATTTTCTAGTTATGAGAGCATTGTGAAAAATAAAACACATTGCTGTCATAAAGTACTTTTGGTCATAAAATTAAAATGCAATAAGTAAAAAAGAGCAATGAGTGAACCTGTGACGAACGAGGACTACCTGTAGTGTACTGTAATAACATGGGTTGGTAAACTCACCCAGCTTCAGCAGGATTATCATGTCTTAAGCTCTGGGGGTGATCATCCTCCACTGTGAAAGATTCCAGAGACAGATATGTGGAGGTGGTGTCCACACTTGGTCGTCTGCCACTATTGAGTGAGCTACAGTCGGAGTCCAAGGTGTGGTTTGATCCAAATCTACCCATGGCAGATTCATTCCTGGAAGGTGGACGACTGTTTTCAATTAGCTTAAATATTTTATTAATTCATTTGCACACCAACTTTACTCCATTCCTGTTTGCATGGAGTTTGATGAGCATATGTTCTTCACTAACAAGTTTAAAGGCAAAATAATATACAGGGGTATTGGAAATTACTATCAATATCGAGCTCGCTCAAACCCATTTCCCACCTTGTTTTTATAAGATCAAAGTTTCATCCATTGCCACTTTTAGACTGTTTGTACATTACAGTAATTAGCCTACCTGACCTGAATTAAGCATTCTTATTTTCAATTACAGCATGCCCTTACAATTCGTGGATTTTAATTCGCGGCCTTCGATTATTCGTGGATGACACCCATTGGATGTAACTAGAATGTCTGTGGGTAGTTTTAAAATTGGCTGCATTTTCGCGGCTGAAACGGGGAGCCCACACTTTTTATGGCAATCCGCAAGGTGTCTCTCTTGTCCCAGGTAGCTGGGCTATGCGTGCTAACCCCGCCTCGGTGACAGTCTGGGTTAAACACTTGTCCACTTTGTGTGTCTGTGCAACTCTGCTCTCTTAACAGCTGTGTTCCTTGTGCTTGTGATGGCTCCCAAACGCCCTCAACCACCTTCATCCAGCTGCAGGAAGGTGCCCAAACAAGTGAAGAGAGAAAAGGTCATGTATTTCTCCCATACATAAGCCTGGCGAGGCCTGGCAAGGGAGTGAGTGACTGCTAGTTAGTGCATCGTCTGCAGTTGTAACTTCTCACTCCCTGCCATATTTCACTGGATTTACTGTTATTAATAGTGTTTACTGATATAAAAGTGATTAATCATGGCATTGTAGCTAGGCTAGCTCATCATTGTACAGGTAAAAGAAATAATTGTCCTAAGGGCAAACACAAAGGGAATTTCCATTTCTTTGCTCACAACTAAAAATGTAACCCCTCTCCCCAGCAAATTATATTTGCAGATTTGGCAATTTGTGGCCATTTTGAGACCCAACCCCCCCAAATTTTAAGGGTATGCTGCACAGTACTTAAAATTAATTAAAAAATGGTTACTTTCACTTCAGTTGTCACTCTTTTGTTATACTTTCACTTTAGTTGTCATTCTTTTATCAGGCAGAGTCCAGTGATTATGGCTAAAACATCCATAGGTACAGAAGGCTACAGCCAAAAAGTGATAATGGGTGAATCACCCATAATTCAGTTCTATCTATCAGTTGCTTCTCTGATGTTTAATTCACTAAAAATGCTACATGTCAGTGATGGACATAACAGGAAAACTTCCGAGCATCCATAGAAAATTTTCCGTTCATCCACAGAAAAGGAATACTGTATACTGTACTAAAATCCTATTTTTTTCTGGAGTGAACAGCAGCTCTTAATATAAGCTGTTTACTTAGGACAGCATAACCCCTTCACAGTTCTTAAAAAACCATTTACAGCTGGGTGAACTGGGAGTGCCCGGGATTGAACTATCGACCCATGGAAGTGGAAAGCACTGTACCCACTCAATCATTGCTCTCTGCACTGTATAAGGTAGAGCAGAGTTAAGATTTCACTCTCGTATAACAAATTCGGGCATACCCCAATAATCAACGCATATCGGGATCGCGAAAAGTCGTTGGTTAGTGAACCAATAGTTGTCGAAGCAATTAATCCCCCAAAAAACATTACAAATTCTGGGGGTTAGGGACTGACCACCCTCCAAAAACTCCCATCTACCCTTGATATATATCCGTACTGCATACTGTCAAGCAAAAAAATAAAGCAAGCATAATAAGCTTTAAATAAGCAATGTAAAGCATAAATTGAGTTATTTATTTGTGTTGAGGATAGCAAGTTCAAGTCTCTACCACTCTTTGCTGGTCCATCACCACTCTCATTATGCCTTATCACATCAAGTTGCCCAGCACAAGAGAAAATATCACTGGGGTTTTTAGGCATGATTGAGCAATACACCAAGTCAGAAATAACACAAAAACATGAAGTCAGAGACACACAGTAAGTTTAAACACGAACAAAGATGGAGGGAACGAGTTGGAGGCAGTGCGCAAAGCCCTCTGGTGGCAAGAATTCATACCCCGCCAGCTCTGCCAATTGTCGGATCTTTGGGTTATCAACAAAACTTGCGGGGTATTTCCCTTGTGTGTAATCGTCGGTTATGCAGATTGGCGGTCAACGGAACGTCGGTTATCTGGGTTCGCCTGTATTGCACCGTTTTCCGGCATTTAACTTCAGTTCTCTTCTATTACCCAGTGTTTAGTATTCGCTGACTTTTCTAAATGGTAATCTTTAAAGCATTTATATTCATTCTTAAGAAATTTAAAAACTTTTCAATACTAAACAATACACACCTTAATCCTCTAGCCATATATGTTCTTTGCTCCTCTTGGTCTTCCAGTAAGTGTTGCCGCTGATTATGCTGGTGGTCACTGAAGTGTTGGTGTTGTTCAAGTGATGGATGATGCTGATGATGTTTTGGGGGAGGCACGTTGGACCGAGGCTTGGGTACAGGTGGGACATTAGTGCGAGGCATAGGTTTGGGAGGGCTTGCATCTCTCCCATTCCACTGACTTGATAATCGCCCATTGCTCACGTCACTGGACACCGGAGGATTCATGTTACCACCCCTGTTATTACTGTTGCTCCCATGACCACGACCGAACACCTACACAATGTAAATTTGACACATCATTTACAATAAATATCATCACCTTATTCCCAAGCAAAGACTGGGAGTTCCAAAGAATTATATTTCCACTAATATTTAATGAACATCTCAGTATGATAGATGGACATTGTCATCTAAAGTAATTAAGAATGTTAACTTGAAGGGGCACTTAATCAGCAAGAGTAATTTTTATATCACTAAGGTAGACTTTATTCCAGCAAACCTTATTCATTAAGGTGCGTGGCTTCGTGTCTGATGAGGATGCATCTCTCTCCTCTCCCCGACTACCTCGCCTCCTAGGCCTGTCATCTGTTGAGCCAGCCCCCAGTGGTGACATCGTTGTACTTCTTGTGTTGTTGAATGGATTATTACTGTTGTTATTGCTGGTAGTCATTGCACGTCCTGAAAATCCTTAGATATTTATTAGAGTGTTATGGTTTACATAGAAGAAAATGAATCAACTGGGTTTGAAATATATCTTGAAAAGTAACCAACTAGATTTAAGTCATTAGAATATTATAGGAGGATCTCAACATTATAACCCTGGAAGGATCCCTAATTCTTAGACCAACACTTGTTAATACATAATCCTTACGGTAAAAGTGGTGAATTAAGGGAAAATTAATAATAAATACAAATTAAAAATAAAACAGCAGACAGTAAAGAGAGATACTGTACACTACAGTGGGGTATGCTATAACGAACGTAATTGGTTCCAGAACCTCGTTCGTTATAGCATTCGTTCGTTATAGGATTAATCCGTTCCAGGCCCCCAAATACAACCGCTTAACACTGAAAAAATTCTGTGGAAAATGTAAAAAATACGGTACTTTATCTTACCTTAGTGTTATTCAGCATGCAGGTACCCCTAAACACTGGCACATCACTATCACTTCCACTGGGAGTCTTGGCTTTAAGGTCCTCAAACAATTGTTTAGCCTTCTCACAAATTATAGCTTCACTAATGTTACCACCTGCCATTTCTTTCTCCTTTATCCACACTAAGAGTAAATTTTCCATCTCTTCAATCACATTACACCTTGCTTTGCTAAGTCTAAAGATTCCCTTAGCCACTTGCACAGTTTTTAACTCCTCTTTATTCTTCAAAATCGTACATATAGTCGATTTAGCCATCCCATATTCATCACTAAGTTTCGCAATGCTTCTTCCATTCTCACGTTTCTTTATAATTTCTTTCTTAGTTTCAAGGGTTATTAGCTTTCTCACTCGCTTTGGACGACTCATTGTTACAATTGTATACTTGTATAACAAAATAGTTATACAAATAACGCGAATTTCCACATCAAAAGACGAAATTTCAACAATAACAGTGGTGCACTGGCTACACAATGAGACAAAGATGGCGCCTGACGCTCTTGTTGTGGGTCGCGGTACAACAATATTCATGCGCCAGGCGAAATAGTCCCGTATTCATCCGCGTTCGTTGTAGGAGTTGCGTTCGTTATAGCATTCTCAATTTTATAGGTAAAACCGTTCGTTATAGCATTCTCAATTTTATAGGTAAAACCGTTCGTTATAGCATTCTCAATTTTATAGGTAAAACCGTTCGTTATAGGAATATTCGTAGTAGGATCCGTTCGTTATAGCATACCCCACTGTATAGTGTACGTATATAAAGAATATAAAACTATAATGTATACTGCATCAAAAACTTCACTTGAACTTTCCTGTGATGATGAAATATTGGCAGGTTTGTGAGAACGTCATTGCCAAAATACAATCAGTGTTTTATCTACAGCAGTATAGCAGTAGCCTATACCGAACATTACAACAAACAATGTACAGTACTGTACTGAAGCTAACATGGGCCAAATTATGTTACTGTAAAAATATTGTAGATGACTCTGACCTACTGGTATATACAGTATACTGTTCATGAATATGATACATTCCTTTGTGTATGAACCTCTGTCCTGTGTGGCAGTGAGAAGTGATACCACCCTCAGTGTCAAGACCTGACTGAATTACTCAGAATAGGCAAACTGTAATCCAAGCTGTCAATAAATTTGTAAAAAAAAAAAAAAAAAGTAAATGTCTGAGGCAGGGAGTTACTCACTAAGGGGTGGTCAGCTGATATAGTAAGTTCATGATTAACTTAATATGCTGTTAGGTCATGAGTCTTACTAACACTTTCAGGGCCCCATAGGGTGCATGCCGCTACCACCGAAGGTGGGCAGGGCGTCCTCAGCTGACAACAATTGTGGCGTAAATGTTTGCATTTTTTTTGTTTGACATTATTTTACACCATATTTCATTTTTTTAATGTTTATTTCTTCATAAATGATTACTCTACAATACTATTATACAAAGGTAGTTGAATCTAACACCAACATAAGAAAATACGAGCGAATATCTCAAAAGAGCAGGTAACGTCCGTCTGCTGTAAATCCTTGGGACACACTGATGCTTGGAGGCTCACAGGGCAGATATCCCGACCCCTCATGTCCACCACAGTTGTGCTGTGAGAATGGGAAGCCAATGGCGTGCATTTCGAGCTAGGAAAACATGAAACTCTCACATTGTGATGTGTACTCCAGACTACCCTGGGATTAACCCATACCTGGTACATGTGACTGCTGGGGAGTTACTGGGCGCCTTCCTACAGGATAAGCTGCTTGTTGGAATCTTCTGATGCTGCGTATGAAGCCTGTTCTGCTGTTCATCTGTGAAATGTATTTGAAAGTCAAAACAAAAATAATGATAATATTCAAAGAAGCACATATACCCAACACAGTCCAGTAAACGTATATGTTTGGCTTTGTCAATGTTAAACTCCGCAGGAGTTCAATTTAAGCCTAGGGTGCCATAAACTTGCCAAGGGTCTGCTAATGGGACAGGGTTTATAGGGGGGGGGGGGGCTAGCAGTAGTAAAGAAAATGTCCACACACCCATTTTTTTTATTTAAGGGGGAAAAAATATTCAAATGATAAAAATTACACTTAACTCACTTTCTATATTAACCATGATTAAAATGTATCCAATATTAGACCCCAATAGCATAGACTCAACCAATGCATACCAAATCATGCAACAGCCTCCCATTTAGTCTAAGTAACCATAATCCTTCATAGCTCAAGCACCACACGTACACACCTAGCGTCTAATTATGCCTTCAAACCTCCTGAAGAATTGCCTGAAATTCCTTTGCCAAGTTTATTACTCTGACTAAGAACTATGTTAGCCTCGAGCTTCAATTTCACTCAAGAAGTATTTCAATTGTTTCTCAATGAACCTATGGCTTCATAACAACAAAGTTACCTGAGTAAGGTTACAGAAGTTGATGACATAGGGACACAATGGGAAAGTACAGCTCATATCCACAGTTTGGGCTCCCTGAAAAAATACATAAAGATATAAAATTTGAATTTATATTTGTTTTATGGCACAGGTTCACCATAAATTACATATCTTAAAGAGGCTGATAAATCTGGAAATTATTTGTTACACAAAATACATCTATCGCCTTATCCCTTAGCAGAAACAAGGATGCCACTGGAAGCCTTTGCAAATGATTTGTCTTCAGAAGCAATTAAACATATACAGCACTGTGTTATACAGTATATACAAGGTGTGATCCAATAGTTCCTGGACTGGCTTCATAAAACCTTTCCCTTTGCAGATATCGAATTTGAATCATCAGCAGTTACTCGCCTTGGGTATAAGTTGTTTACTGTGTCGATTTGGCGGGAATCTATGGTGCCAATTGGCCGTAGTGCAGCTCTGTGTGAGTGTGTATACCGGCCCATCTGCTAAGTAGAGTCAGTCGTCACTCTACCCTCAACATGGAGGGAAGTATCGAGCAATGCTGTGCCATCAGAATTTGCTTCAGACTCGGAAAAAATGGTACAGACACCCACGAAATAATCAAGGAAGCCTACAAAGATGGAGCAATGTCCAGGGCTCAGGTTTTCGGGTGGCACAACAGCTTCTAAGAGGGGTGCACCTCTTTTGAAAATGAGCATTGTTCTGGGCGGCATTTCACCGAGAGAAATGATGAAAATGCCCAGAAATGACCATCCACGAGGTTGCCGAGCGGTTGGACTTCTCGTATGGAAATGACTGACGACCGGCAATTGGCTGCTTCACCAAGACAATGCACCTGTGTTCTGTGTGAGCACTCTCCTCTCTGTGAATGATTTTCTGGTGAAGTACAGCATCCCAGTGGCCCCCCACCCTCCGTACTCTCCAGATCAGGCCCCCTGTGAGTTCTGGCTGTTTCTTAAGTTCAAGTTGAACCTCAAGGGGAAGCAATTCATGGACAGAATGGAGATCCAGGAAAAATCGCAGAAGGACTTCCAGATCTGCTTCCAGAAGTAGGAGGAGGAGGGGATTCAGTGCTGCATTGAGGCCTCTGGAGAATATTTTGAGGGTGACTAAAGTTTCACTGTTATATCTTGAAAAATAAAGATTTTATGAAGCCGGTCCGGGAACTTTTGGATTGCACCTCGTATATGGCATGTCATTCTTTTACAAGGATCCTCAAGATCACTTAATGTCATCTAGTCTTAGATCTGATTTTTGGTTTCCTTGAGTTAATTTACACCCCGATTGAGGAAGATCTGGATTGGGATTTTACATTAGTTTTCGTGTTATCCCCGACTTCATATAAAGGGGTTCTAAAGCCAAATATAATGTCAATTAAGAGTGATACATGACTCCTATCATTATCACAAGGCAGGAGGTCCTTTCTTTTAAGGTAAAGACCAAAATGTGGAGAATCCAGAGTCTGTATTTCCAAATTAAAATAAAGTATTTGGAATTACATACACAGCTGGGGTACTCTCCAAGGGCTTCACAGAATTGATAACTTTCCTTAAAGTAATGTCCCCGTAGACCAAGTTGTGCAGATCGTGTGGAATATTGACTTTTTCCCAGGCAAGTGATTTTTTTAATTAACTTGAACGGATATCTCTTACTTGCTCTGACAAACTTCTGGAGGAAATTTGCTAGCCCAAATCTTTTTATGGGAAAAGTTAGTCGTCTTAAAACATAAAACTTATCATGTGTATCAATTCACAGATCAGTGTCAGTAACACTTGTCATGTGAAGTCATAATTTCTGTCACCTCACACCTATAGCCTCTGGCTGCTTAACGTGACAAAAATTACATGCATCTGACATAGGTCACTAATCCTGTTACACTACTGACAAGCAGCCTCTTGATGTACCTCTCTGGTCAAACATGTACAGTGAAGTGGGGTCATGCGGCACCTGACATTCCTGTCTAGGTACAAGATTTTCCTCTCAAAATATTAGCTTGTCCACTGGGCAAGTGCTGGAAACATGGACAAGAAAAATCACCTGTCTGGCCCCTACTCCAGGCAAGGCTAATCTGCACAGCCTACTGTAAACCCTTTTTAGACAGTAACCCAAATCAGGGTCTGCCTAGTGCAGGGATGGTGTGACACATAGGGCAGGTTGTATGGTTACTGTAATAATGGCTGACTGTAAACTGAATTGTCTCCAGTGTGAGGTATAGGTACTCAGTGGTTTACTCCTTTGTCTACCTGCCTCTTGAACCTAAGTTTCCCCACACTGACAACAAGATATAAATTAAGAGATGGTTGACCCTAGATATCCTATCTAGAGTAGATTTTCACCAAGGAGACTAGGAGACCATCCTCCTCACTTAATTTTTATCCTGGAGGTCAACTGGATTCATCCACACTGTTGAAATCATTTTATAAACCATGGAGAGAATAGGAGTGTTACATGTAGTGATGTAGTGAGTGTTACCTGTGGTGAGAATTCATTTAAATATACATTTATTGATTTTCTACATTGAGTTACAAGTTTGGTTATTTTTTATTGTACAACGTGTATGAATATCATAATATTAGACAACTTACAGTCGCCCATGACTCCTCAATGATGCACTGTACACACATGTCATACACGTGCCAGTCACCACAGGCATCTCCTGCCCACTGCCACACAGCTCCTTGGCCAGCTGGAGAACTCTGGGGGTAAAAATTGCGCCGCACCCTCACCGTCTCCCCTGGGTTAAGAAATAATGTTTATTACTACAATATTTCTATATTAGAACTATATACAAAATTTCCTATAGTAAAAAATATGAAAGTATATTTACTGCTAAGATTAAGACATTGTAAAGCATAGCATTTCTTCCTGTATGTTTAGTTTTGGTTGATGTCGGTGAGGAAGGTTTCTCATAGTGGGGGTCATCATAGTAAACTTCATGTACAGTACGAGAATATCGCCATCCTTGTAGTACAGTGGTTTCCATCACGTTTAAAAAATGACACAATAATATCTGAACATAATGCTCGGGTAATGAATTACATCAGTGTGTCACTTTATGCATCTCGGATGTATTATACACATCTTGTACTACAAATCAATTGACTACAAAATCTTCCATCATCTTTAACACTTCATCTACTTTGTAGCTACTCTTGCTGCCTCCTCTCCTACACCTCTAGTTGCAATTTTTGTTTTCTACAAGGCCTTTGTCAATACTACTTACTTTCCCAGTGCCTCTTTTATTTCCATGTTGCATCATACACCTCCCCTTCATTTATTTCTAACAAATCTCCTATATACTGTAATTCTATCCTCCCTTTCTTGTTTATGCCATTCTTATATACAGTAAAAACCTCAAGTACCAGACTAAAGAGCCACAGTGATAATGTTACTCACAGGGAATCTGTTATTTGGACGTTCATATCAGCAGGGAGGCACAACTGTTCCAAATAACAGCTAGCATATTACATTTACACAGTTTGGCTAATTTAAGTTCATAATAAATAAGTTCAAGTAAAATAATCAAACTTATGATATATTTTCACAACATTCAGTTGTTTTTTATTTAAACTGTTAACAGGTGTATTAAGGTTCTAGAAACTTTCAGAGCTATAAAGATTTTTAAGGTTCTCGAGTCCTGACGTGTGTGTAGGTGACATGAATGGCCTTGTGCAGTGTGTGCTGATGTGGATGTGTACAGTATACCTTATATACTCAAGTACAGTTTGAGTTTTTAAGATCAAATTTTTTGGCAAAAATATGGGGTCAATCTATATGCACATAGTGTTTTGAGGGGTTAAAATTAGTGCATTTCTGAAGGTCATTTACTGTGAACGATAGCTGTACATGCTCACGGTAAGCTCCTTCAGTCTTGGGCTTGCCTACTATACCCTTAAATTGACTACAGCTTTAAATCTACAAATACCTAATACAAATGATGATTTACAGACACAGGTAACCCCCCTGAAGATACAATGGGGTTCCGTTCCTGAAAAACCCATCGCTAGGTGAAATATCGTAGATAGGGAGCATTATAACATCGGGTTCAATGAGATACATTCTCAACCAGTCCCCAAACACACATGTATCGCCGACAAAAAATTCTTCTAATACTATCGGTACAAAACAAGTAAACACTCGCCACATCATATTGGATTAGTCTGGTCATCATCACATGTCCCCTTCGAGGTTAAGGGGCCTCTTATAGGTGGAGTGGAGATATCACTCTGACTCCCACACAGCCTCTGGCAAGTCTCATGCTGCTTAACAATGTCAAGCTTCACCTCAGACACATAGTTGTCTTGGATGCCTTGGCTCTTCCCAGACATTTTCAAATTTACACTGCTCACTTGACAGTCGCAAAAAGAGCAAAAGCACTTGTTGTGCAAACTGAGTTAACAATGATAACAAAAACAATGATAGCAGCTGATACTGCTCATATTTTCAAATTAACAAAGTCAATGCACCTTTGTCACAAAAATACAGAAATATCACTTCACAGTTAGAGCTGTCCTCAATATATAAGGAATAAAACCAAACACTGATGACAAGTACAATGTAGGATGCAAAGGTGGGTTTATGATCAACAAAATACCAAGGGGAGGGCTGTAGTACATGGGTTGGCTGTGTGGGGGTGCGTGGGTAAGCTGACGAGTGAAGGTATGGTGCATAGGGTTAATATGGTTTCATTATAAAATCTCAACGACTTGACATAGAAAAATATAACTTGCATTGGTGGAATCCTTGCAAGATAACAATTAATTTGAGTATAAACAACCCATAGTTTGCACTAGGGATAAAATCTGACCAATGGATATTGATGGCTATTTGGTGGAAATCATTAAAGCAAGTTGTTTTGATCATATATAGCGAGATGGTGTTAATTTATAACCATCATTAAAGTGAAATTTCGCTTCTAGGGTTATATTTTGGGGGTTATCTGTAATTTTCTTTTCATTTGTGGCATTGTTGCCGACTCGTCACTGAAGCTACATCTTTCTACCGGTAAGCTGTGAGGTGATACGGTTATTTCGCTTTTCCTTAATGGTTTTAACTAAATTTTTTCCATCTAGATTGTATACAAATGTTGTTTGCAGTAGCACAGTTTTTAAATAACGTAAGAAAGGTAGGTGGTATAGTTTATGAATGGTGGGAAAGGAGGTACTGGGAGCTGTGAATTTGCTTCATTCTTTTGACATACCATGTAGGCCATTACTTTACATCGGTGTTAATATTCCTTACTTTTTTGCTTGTTTTATATTAGTCTTGTAGTAACACCATAGCCATCATCCCCCTACCAGCTGTCAGCTATGTTATGATTATTTTTCAACTCATAATTTTGGGTAGATACAGCTCCTCCCCAACTTATGACAAGGTTAGGGAACCAAATCCAGGCCGTAAGTCGAAAATGCTTAAATAATACATAAAAAATCTAAAATGGGTGTCTCTCTTCTCAGCATCACAAAACTCTCACTTTTAAGCTTGCCAGCCATTTTAAAGTGAATTACAAAAAAAAAAAAATTTTTTCAGTACACAGCGCAATCACCGACGTTGGGACTTGAAAATACGTAATTTGACAAAATTTTGGTATGACTGAGGCAGTCGTATGTCCAGGTGGTCGTAAGTCGAGAAGGTCTTAAATCAGGGAGGGGCTGTAAACGTATTTTTTTTTTACATGCACACCACATTTATATACAGAATATGCAAAAAAAAAAAAAAACCATAATGTCAAAAACATAAAAGTGAATAAACTTGCTTTGTGCGTTCAGAGTTAGGAAGGATCTCCTCTGTTCTGAGCTGTCTCTTGTGTGTAGTGAAATGATTGACAAATTTTGTCATCCAGCAGCCAAATGGCAATACAGTATCTTTTTATTGATTGGTATTATTTTTATTTATTCCTCACATTTATTGGTATATATTATTTTATCTTATTCCTCATAGGAGTTATTAACTAGTTGGAATTCAGTTTCAGAGATGGTAACACTGTTTATTGCATTAGCTGTTGTTAGTGGTGGTTATGGCCAAGACTTGTTGGTGTGAATCTGGTGTCCCAGCCACGTCCCTCCACAAAAAAACCCCCCACAAGATACACAATATATTTTTGTCAAAAATGTTAAATCATTTGTTCAAGATTCATGGTTACTCAAATACAGTACATGGTACTTGGGGTGTTTACTGTACCTGCATTTTCTTTCTATTATTCCTGAATGCACTCTTGGGTATTTTATCTCCTTTACTTTAACCTTAAATCTGTTGTCCCTACTTCTTTTGCCATGTAAATTCAACTCACTTCCATTTTAAGTTTGGCACACACTAAGCATTGATCTGACCTTGTCATCATCCCACTTATTACTTTCCCAACAATACATGCAATACAAAATGTAACACCTTTAAGGTCTTCACGGTCAAGATCCACAGAGTGTACTAACCATGAGTACAGTTATCAGTCACCTCGTATAACTACCGGTCTATCAAAAGTGGGTCTCTTAGACCTTGAAGGGCCATTTGGGATAGTATTGCTACAATACACTGTACAGTATTCTAAAAACTTGGCTAGCACTACACTCAACCATGTTCACTTCCCCAGCTGTAAAGTTTGGGACCCATTAACAGCTGGGTAGGTGGGGGTGCCCCAGGATCAAACCAGTGACAATTTTTGGCCACTACACCCCACAACAATCTATAATTATGAAAAAAAAAAAAAAAAAAAAAAAAAAAAAAAAAAAAAAAAAAAAAAAAAAAAAAAAAAAAAAAAAAAAAAATCTTTAACACACACACTATATTGTCCACATTGGACTAGTACATTACCTGATAGCCGTTTACAAGCAATACAAATACAGTAAACATATTCAAGTAACAATCACCCGAAGCTGTGCACTTTTGTTCCATTTCCGGCAAATGAACACAATAATTCTTGAGAGCCGGATCAGAGTCTCCAAGAAAGACTGAGCGCAGGTTCTTGGTGTGAGAACGTTCCAGTTGCTGTGTGACTTCTGGGGAGTAAGGGCGCCATCGTCGCTGAAAAATATTTTGGCAATTATTCAATGGGTTACCTTATAATATTAGCTTCTTATAGTACAGTATTACAGTTTGGACAATAATGATACTGTAGTTGGTATATAACTTGGGTAGACAAAATTAATTCCTCTCTATAATTATTATGACACCAGCTTTTCTGGGTTTTAATTCATATAACTTTCTGACCAAACAGGAGTAAATGTCCTGCAGCAGCTAGTGAATCCCTCCAACCCCAATGGTAGGATGCTGGTTCACTGAAGGGTTAGTCTAACATCCACAAGCACACCCAATAATAGTGTTTCTCACCAGTGGGACATAAAGGTAGACTGGTGGAACATAAAAGTTAAAAAATATTAAATATCATAAGAATTAAAAAAAAAAAAATTGGTTTTGCCTCTCGACTGTACAATAAAACATTTTCCCAACAAAATTTATTCTTAAGTTTTTAAAATTTTTCATTAATAGTACAGGTATCCCCTAATTTACAACCTCCCTATCTACGATATTTTGCCGGATGATGATTATTGTCTGGCCAAAATCGGTGACCCGCGGAATAAAGAATGCATCTCTTGGTGCACTTGTCAGCTGCAGTTTACCTGCGTGCCGCCACGCAGCCACCCGGTACACTACAGTCCCAAGCTTTGCTCTATGGTGATTGCAGATACCCGTGATCATATAGGTGAACGATTATCAATTGGTATTGGTGTTGTTACTTATCATTGGTGTTTTTTTAATTTACAGTGAGAGGACATCACTAACGTTCACATTGTAATCTGTTTTTGGTGATTGTTAAGTGATTTTTTGCTATGTTTTTTTTTTGTGACTGTAAAGTGAGCAGTGTTACTTTGAAAATGTATGGGAAGGTCAAGGCACCCAGGAAAACTGTCTCTCTGGAGGTAAAGCCTTGAAGGGGACATGTGATGATGACCCAAACTTGTTCTTAATGATATGGTGATTGTTGTTTGTGTTTTATGTATAACATTATTGTAAGAATGTTATTTTCGGTGATACCTGTGGGTGTCGAACTGGCCGGGAACATATCCCATTGAATGCAATGTTACAACGATCCCGATTTATGATATTTTGACCAGCGCTTGGTTTTCAGGAACGTAACTCCATTGTAAATAGGGGGATAACTGTACGATACATGTAAATACATATAAATGTAAAAATGCACTTCTATGGTTGCAGCCATAGTATTTTGACAAAATACTTAACAAGATGTAAGATCCAGACGGTTGAGAGCCACTGTGATAGGGAACTGTTCTCATTTATTCAACTTGGGTTTGGAAAGACATGTAACCATTTCCCACAAAGCAAACACTACAGTCCCTGTTTAATGTAGATCTGATCAAAATGTTTTTGGTTATTTCATACCTGAAGCTTCTTTGTTAGTATACATGGCTCACTTTACATCTTCGACAATAGTGATGGTTCTGCTCTAACATCACTTGGACCTGGGGTCCTCATTTTATGTAAATTCATTATGTATGAGAACATCAGGCAATGTAGGCATGTCAACGGTGACCAAATTAACTAATGCAATCATAGTGGAATGTACCATTCCAGATGACTGGAGGAAGTGTGTGATTATGAATACTTACAAGGGTAACTCAGGAACTACAGGGGCCTGAAGCTGCTAAATCAGTTTAAAAAAGCTGTAGAGTGATTGAAAAATTGATAAGGAAGAGAGTAGACATAAATGAAATGCAGTTTGGGTTTATGCTAGGTAGGTGGACTAGAGGCAATATTTATGGCCAGGCAACTGAAAGAGAAATATGTAGCAAAGGTGAGAAAATTTTATTTCACACATGTAGATTTGGAGAAGGCCTTTGACAGGGTACCAGGAAAAGTAACAAAGTGGGCAATAACAAAGCTAGGAGGAAAGGAGTACCTTCTTCGACTGGTTATGGCAATATAACAGAGCTCAAATATTCTTTAATAGAGTATATAAGAGCTCAAATATACATTGCAGATGTGTACTACCAATGAATGCTTGAACAGCACAAAGTTCAAACATAAGATTTTTTCCTCTAAAGGTAGTTGTCATAAAGACAGTAACAGTAGTTAAAGATGAAAATTACTTGTACTGTTCTCAATATCAATCTTGCTTGTGATCTTGATGTGGCAAATTTACTTAGTTTAATGAAAATTACTCTTTATACGTTTGATATGATATTCAACATGCACAAGCATGAAATAAAATCATTACTCTCTACAAGGAAAGACTAAAAAAAAGTGTAACAACTTTCCATATTTTGTTCACATTCTCAACTGGGCTAGCCATAATGCATAACAAACAAGTAGTAACTATGGGGACGTGACTCACCTGTTTGTTCTCCCACTCCCACACTACCACAAACAGACCCTGTTTGCCAGTAGCCATTGTGTTGCTCTGGACAATATATATTTCTTGCTAGGGTCCAAACACTACCATCGTTCTTACACGAAGACAAAATTGCTAACTTGAGTCATTTCTAAAAACCTGGAAAAAAAAACCCATTGTTTAAACTAACTGAAAGATCATCTTAAACTTTCATGATTATTAAAAATTAGGCAGGGGTTATTTGATCAGTATCTGGCAGAATAACCACTGGTTGTTTGATTGGGATGTAAAATAAAACTAAGTACTGTACAGTACTGTACTTCTAGCCAAAGATAATTATACATATTATTTTATTGATAATTTCAAACTATATTAGAAAAAAATTCGATCAAATAGAAATACAAGTTGGACCCCATTAATCCGGAGCCCGATAGTCCCTGTAGCTTCAATGGTTCGGGTCGGTGTTTGAATCTGGCTGTCGTTAAATTGCATCTGTCATAGCTCTCTTCTAGTGGCTGTTGCCACTATTTTACCTTTAAATACTTATAATTTACCCCTAAATATGCCTCCTAAGAGACCAACAAGCAGTGGAAGTGGTTGTAATGTGGTGAAACATAAGCATGTGGCATTAAATATTAAAGAAAAGATGTCTATAGTGAAGAAATTAGACAGTAATAGTTCTTTTTAGGCATTATTTTGCATTTTTTTTACCTCGGCTTTGATGGTTCGGAATTTTCACTAATGCGGAACCGGTCTGGTCCCAAGCTTCCCGGATTAGCGAGGTCCAACCTGTACTGTACAGTAAAACTGTACAGTATAATTTATACAGTACTGTACTGTATAATGAATACAGTACTGTACTATACATGCAAAATTAAGGATACAAGGAAGATAAAATCAGAAGGAAGATAAAATCAGATAAAATTCTAAATCAGTTTAAGAAAAATAATAAATAATAAAATAAATAAATATTGAAGTGATAACCGTGGTAACATTATGAGATGTACTTATTACCACCATGCTATTGTACTATTCCAGATGAAACTAAATGTTACATAATAATTCCTTGAGATATATGTATAGTATATATCAGGTGCCTCAAAGAGAGCTCAGGTTGTCAACTGGCTCAGCCATGTTAATATTGTTATTATTATCCACTCTGTATCTGTGTTTTTCTGGCTAAATAAACTGTTTCAATTAAATTCAACTCAGGTTTATATAACTCGTAAAAAATGTTGGTCTGACATAATCTAACGTACATTATGTTTGTTCATGAAGTGGAACATTTCAGAAGTATCAGATGATGATGAAAGAAGCTACTATTGTAGTGATAAAGCATTCAACATTTCTATAATAGTGTAATGCCCACAGCCAACTTGACCAGAATCCCATTAAAATCATAGTTAAATAGCAGATGGTTATACCCTCTTCATAAATGTTAACTTAATGTTTTTATTTTTGTTTCATTTTAGTCTTTAATTGTTTTAGTGAGATGCTTCCATGAGTAAAAACGTTTATAATTTTTTATTTTCGTCTTTAATAAATTGTCTTGGTGAGATGCTTGCATGATCCAGTGTATGAACACAAAGATAGTAAACCAGCCATTAAGTCTTCACTGCTTCAGTGAATACATAATGAAGGTCTAAAGCCCTTGAAATGGTGATGGGAATGAATGTGGTGACAAAATGGGTAAAAAAAAAATGATGAAATGGGTAAAAAATGTGGTGACGAAACATAAGAACATAAGAAAATGAGTCTGCAATAGGCCGGTTGGCCTGTGCATGGCAGCTCCTGTCGAGAGTTACTACCACTCTCTATCACCCATGAATCTATCCAGCCTCCTTTTGAAACTTTCCAGAGTTCCAGCACTTACTACAAAGTTGCTAAGCTTGTTCCACTCGTCCACCACCCTATTTGTGAACCAGTTCCTTCCTATCTCCCTCCTAAACCTAAACTTATCCAACTTGAATCCGTTGCTAAGAATCCTTTCCTGCTCGGATATTATAAGAACTTTATCTATATCTCCGTTATTGATTCCTTTCACCCACTTAAATACTTCTATCATATCTCCCTGCACTCTTCATCTTTCTAGGGAATGCAAGTTTAGTTTCTTTAACCTATCTTGATATGGAAGGTTTCTAAGTCCTGGAATCATTTTCATCATTCTTCGCTGCACCGGCTCCAGTGAATTGATATTCATTCTATAATAAGGGCACCAGAACTGAACTGCATAGTCGAGGTGTGGCCTGACTAGCGCAAGATATAGTTGCAATAAGACCTCTGTACTCTTATTGCTTACACTTCTAGATATAAAACCTAATACTCTGTTTGCCTTATTTCGAACATTAACGCACTGTTTTCTAGACCATAGGTCCGGGCTTACAAGTACCCCTAAGTCTCTTTCACAAGTCGACTTCTCTAGGTTGATGTTGTTAAGGCTGTATACTGTACATTGACAGTATATGTTCTTCCAATATTAAGTACACTGCAGTTGCTGGTGTTGAATTTCATTTGACATTTTTCTGACCACTCCTGCAGTTTAAATCCTCCTGTAGTGCATTTGCATCCTGCCCTGAATTAATCTGCCGCCCTATTTTGGTGTCATCCGCAAACTTGCTTATGTCACTGCTGATCCCAGTATCTAGATCGTTATGTAGATTATGAACAAGAAAGGGCCCAGTATTGATCCCTGGGGAACCCCACTGGTTACACAGCCCCACTCGGATTTAACACCATCTACACTGACCCTCTGTGTTCTTTCGGTGAGCCATGATTTTATCCAATTTAGAACTTTCCCCTTGATACCATGAGCCTTAACTTTTCTCAGAAGCCTCTGATGCGGTACTCTGTCAAACGCTTTGCTAAAGTCTAAGTAAATAACATCGTAATTTTCGTCATTATCTACTACCTTGAAGACTTTCCTAAAAAACGTCAGCAGATTTGTTAGACAAGATTTTCCCTTTGTAAACCCATGTTGAGAGTCGTAGATTAATTTGCTTTTCTCTAAATGCGATCAGATGCTATTTGCTATAATTGATTCAAGAAATTTCCTCACTACTGACGTCAAACTAATCGGCCAGTAATTTGGAGCTGATGCTCTGTCTCCCTTTTTGAATATGGGTACTACATTTGCCTGTTTCCACAAGTTTGGCACAACTCCCGTGTCTAATGATTTTGTAAATAAATATACGAGGGGTCCGCTAATCTGTTCCTTACACTCTTTCAAAACTCGAGGGAAAATTTCATCAGGCCCTGGGGATTTTGTCTTCTTTAATTTCTTTATCTTCTTAAGAACATCCTCTTTTCTGATAGTGATATTCTTTAATTTCTTTTCTTCATTTCCCCTTAATATCAGTTCCACCTCTGGAATTTCCTTGTGAATTTCTTCTGTGAAAACTGATAAGTAGCTGTTTAATGCTTTGCTTATTTTCTCACTGTCATCGATCACTTCCTCTCTCTCTCTCTCTCTCTCTGACTTTAAAGGCCCCACTTTGTCCTTGACCTTTGTCCTATAAGTCAACCCTCGCTTTACGCGGTCCCCTGCCGAAACCGGAATGCTCACTTTCCGCGGTGTGTGTACCCTTTTACGCGGAGAGCGGCGCGAGCAGGGTGCGCACAAGGTCGCCCAGTCATCAAAACATTACCGAGTTCTTCACCCACCACAGTCGGCCCAAGTCAGTGATAGTGATAATGATTGTGAGGATATGGACTTATTTGGACTTTGAGGGGTTTGACAAAGAGGCCCTGCAAGCCTCTGTGGTGGATAGTGATACAATTGATACAAGTGATACAGGTGAGGGCCAATAATCTGCCCTCTGCCTCGGAACCAACCCCCCCATCCCCGTGTGCCCAGCCATCTTTTCTACTAATGTAAGTGTTAAAAAACCTAATATTATTGATATTTCTCTTAATTATTGTGTGTGCATACCATCATAAAATTAAGAAGTTATTTTTACTACAACGTAGGTATTGTGTCTGAAAAAGTGGAGTTTGGGGGTCGGACCGGTCTCTATTTCAATTAATCCCATATGTTACGTTGTTCACTTTACGCGGGCTGCCGTGGGTTGAATTAACCGCGTAAAGTGAGGGTTCACTGTATACCTAGAAAAATCCCTTGGGACTCACTTTGGATTCTCTCGTAGTCCCTCTTTGCCTTCCTTACATTTTTCTTAACATTCCTAGATAGTTCATTATACCTATTTCTGAGCTGCTCCTCCCCTCCCTTTAATTTCTTATAAATTCCTTTCTTTATTCCTATGTCATGTTTAAGTTTTCTGGTCATCCACCTTGGCTCATTCTTATTTGACCTAATTTTTCTGTATGGTATATTTTGTTCTTGTGCTTTACATAGTATACGAGTGAATATATTATAGTCATCATCAATTGTTGTCACCTGTGACCTCACCCGTTCCTGCTGGAGTCTGACCTGACTGTTCTTAGGTGACCTCACCTTGGTACCTTCTTAACCCCCGATAATCCGCCAATCGAAAGTTTGGGACTCTGACCATATTGTCATTGTTTTTCGTTTCCCAATTTAGGGTGAACCTGATTTCTCTGTGATCACTGTTCACTAGTTCTCCCCTTATTGTGATATCTCTGATAATATTTTATTTATTTGTTAATACTAGGTCTGATATAATGTCACCTCTAGTAGGTTCTGCAATTAGTTGTTTAAAAAAAAATTGTCCTGTACTGCATTGGTGACGAAATGGGCACACCCCGTTAGGGTTGGTAGTTTAGTTATTGTTTTATGTTATACTAGCTTAGTTTTCCTTTTTTTGAACAGCTTCAAAGAAAAGAAGGTAAATTTTTACTTCCGGACACGAGTGTATTTTGGTGTTTTAAACCTCACAAAACCTAACCAACCCTGGTAGGCCTAGCTTAAACTAACCTAAATGTTTCAGTAGTTTAAAAATTTGGGGCGCACCATGTCCGTAAGTAAAATACCTTAGTTAAAAGTGGAAGGACCAGGGATACGTAAGAATTGGATAGAATGATCGTCCTTCCCATAAAAATCAACAATAATCTTAAAATAATCGTAGGAACACAAATGACAACCAACCTCCACCACAGCCATTGTGAGACTGGTCAATGAAATTAAAATCTGTACCCAGGCTGCTTCCTTTGAAAAAAATCTGATGTGATTGGTCGAAAAAATTTGTGTGATGATATCGCTACATCATTGGTAATGACTGGATGATGTCAGTCAATATTGGGTATGCATGATGCGGCGATAACATCTCCTCACAGAGAAGACCTAAACTACGTAAAATCAATTAAATTAAATTGTCGCTATTATCCATTTCTGCCTGGTATATATTGAGTTCAAAATGCCCAGAAGAGGGAGATCTAAATGTTTCAGTAGTTTATAACATTCGGGTGCGCTATGTCCTAATGTAAAAAATACCGAAAAGAAGATTAGATATATTAAAATTAGGGGGTAAAGGTTAGATTAGGTTAGGAATTTTGGTAAATTTGCATAAGTGCACCACACTCTGTTAGAAAGTAAATAATATATTGTTCTAGTGTATTTGTGTGTTTAGACCGAATATGACCTTCATTTCCGTCGGAAATTGGCCTGTTTTTTTTTTGTTTTTTTCAAAAATTTTTTCGTGGGACGTTTTCAAAAAAAAAAAATAATGGCTAAGCGAATAAAAAATACACCAAAAAACAAACCTAACCTAACTAACTCTCGCCATATGATGGAATCGCCTATTTCTTACCTTATTGCCGTCTCTTCTTTGTCTTTGGGATAAGGGACGAGTTAGGACAACACCACATATGTTGGTTTTTACGATATTTACGTTCAGTCTTGCACTTATGACACTTTACTGAGGTCGGGAGAACACCATGTGATCGAAAAAAATGCTATACTGTGTAGTTTCTTGTTTTTTTCCCCAAAACTCTCAATCAGCTCCATATAATTGAAGTGACACCCATCACAGACTTCCATGGTCGAAAATGAATATGAATTTGGAAATATGAGACCCAAAATAAAAATCGATTTTAATTGGTTGCAAAAAAAAAACCCCAGCTTTTGATTGGCCGCGTGATGTGTCCGGGAACGCATGCGCGTGATGATTTATGGAGACACGCAGTGTGGGAGGTGAGGTAGGCGATAATTGCGGAAGATTAATGAAAGAAAATAGAGAAAATTTTGGATACACTATCTCCGTTATTATAGATTTGCGACGGTAATGTAATAGATGAAAATTATCTTATAATTAGACGTTTTATTAGAATATGATAATAGATTAGTGGTAGGAATGTGTGGTGTGAAAATGCAATAATACTGGAATTTTTCATTTTTCAAGAATTTGCACAAGAAATGAAGGTCTTTAATAGATAAAACACACAATTATCTACTAAAAAATAAAATAAATCATAAAAGCTAAGGTGGACTATAGACATATACTGTACATATACCAAACTTTCTTAAATTTACCCAAAGTTTCTAGTTAGCAGGAGACACTGTTCAAGAACTAGCATTCTCAAGCGGTCCGACAAATGCACCCAAATGTAGTCGCAATGAAGTCAAATGATGGTCATACAAGAATAAATCGGACTGCCAATCACTTCTCGACTAGTATTTGGTGTCAGTCACAAAAAATTGGTAAACTTAATTTAATCTGAGTTAATGGATCGAGTACATGTACCTAACCTAACCTAACCTAACCTAACTCAGATTAAATTAAGTTTACCAATTTTTTGTGACTTTATGGCACCAAATACTAATCGAGAAGTGATTCACAGCCTGATTTATTCTTATATGACCATCATTTGACTTCATTGCGACTACATTTGGGTGCATTTGGGTAATTACTCGCTCCCTCGGTACAAGCATGCGATCTATTAACTCAGTTTAAATTAAGTTTTCCAATTTTTTGTAACTTTGTGACACCAAATACTAGTCGAGAAGTGGTTGGCAGTCCGATTTATTCATGTAGGACCATTATTTGACTTCATTGCGGCTACATTTGGGTAATTAGTCGGACCGTTAGGTTAGGTAATTCTGAGACGTTTTAGATTTTATAAATTATATTATAATCTCAACTACCATTTGTATACAGCGACCTGCTCTGCTCTTCAGTTCATATAAAAACTAAACACATGATTCCAAATACCTTTAAATTAGCTCTATAAAATAAGCTGCACCGTTTTATTTCACACCGCCGTAATATACATACCCTCTTAAAGTTTCGTTGGATAATTCTTGGTAATATTCGAGCACTAGAACGTTTCTCTAACACTTAAATCAGTTTCTGACCTCGTGCATACACTCTACAGTAGGCACGAGTTGACACAATGGTCCCGTTCACATCAAGTCCTGTATCTCTAAGACGGTACAGTAATGATTCATCACTGTATACTGTAATTATGTATCTCTAAGACGGTACAGTAATGATTCATCACTGTATACTGTAATTATGTATCTCTAAGACGGTACAGTAATGATTCATCACTGTACACTGTATCAGCTACTCCAACTTGATCACTCTCCCCTAGCGAAAACCTTCACTAAACGTCTTCTCTGTAATGTAATCGTTGGTGGCACAGAGGAATGTATTGATTGTCATGAACTTTGCTACGGTTTAAAGAGTTTTTCTTCACGTACTGCACCTGTTTACGTTGTGTTCATGACGTCACATGTAAACAACACTTGTCTGCGCATTGGGTCTGCGCAGTTCTCCCGATGTCTTCAGTGGCTCTGGCTTCAGCTTACACTTACTTCAAGTACAGCCTGAACTTGTGGATGTATATTTGTGAACAGTGTTTAAATATTAGAGTAACTGTATTTACTGTGTGCCTTATATAACATCGTACAAGTAGAAATCGTATGGAAAGAACAATTGTCACGAATTTCACTTCGTTTTTTGGTGGTTGGTTGGTCGAGTCCTGGGCAGTACAACCTTTAATAATACTATAGTCATAAGAAGATCCATGTGACCCTACCGAACATCTGTACTAACACTGGACAATAAAGTTCATAGCAAAGTAGCAAAGAACAACCTACCGTTCGAAAGGCAAGTAAGCTGAAAGGTGGTGAAATGATAAATTTAAATAACATTTAATCACACTGAAATAAATTAGAATCATATTAAAAAGAAAGCATCAAGTTAATTTCAATAACACTGTTATTTAATCAATTGAACAAAGTGCCAGCCTCATGTCTGAGAATCGGCAACCAGTCCTTCACTTTGTTTTCGAACACTTTACTAATTATCTCTGCTTTTGCATCTCGCTGGGGACTCGGTATTTAATTTAAATCATCCACCTCAGTCTCTCTTTGTTGAGATATAAAATTTTAGTACAGCCCCGCGTTCACTAGGCCAATACCGTACACTGTAGCGTGCGGTCGGCGAGAAAGATTTCACAAGGCACTGTTTTATGTTCACCAAAGACTTTAAATCAGAAAACAATTACATTACTGTATTAAATATCTGAAAAGCTTTTAATTTAAAATAAAATGAGTGATCTGCGCTGTTTAATATTCTTTTAATTGGGTAAAAAATATGAATTAAATTTTTCAGGTTTCATACTCAGATCACTACAATTGACCCACTTAATATATGTAATAGAGATGCTGTGCTTTATCTAATTGTCTAAGATTCGCAGAAGAGACACTGGTGAAGCATGCATATAAAGAGGTAGGGAGTGAGACTTAAAGAAACGAAGGCAAATGCGCCAAATTGTTCATAAGAGTTTATTTTGTTAATAGTCCACAAATAATGTAGATGTGCAGTGCTGTACAAAAGGAGAGCGGGAACATAGTGAGGCAGAGCTCGTGTCGTCATATAAGTCAAGCCGCTGGAGAGAAAAAGCAGAATGACATTTAAGCTTTACATAGCATAAAATATAGAAAACGACAGGTTTTATTGGAAGGAAGTATTTCATTGGAAAGATTAAGCCATAAACGCAAAGAACAGAAGGTGAATGATTTTAAATTCAGATTTGCCACACGTCGGCACAAAGGCTACTTTAATGGACACCCCGTTGCAACCAGTGCAAGGCAAAATGCCAAAACAATATAACGCCTAACAGGGAAGCACTTGGAGTTCACGCTTGCCTTCTTAGACTTAGATTGCTAAAGGGCGAGAGTACCTAGGGGGCTATTGATTATGTTAGCAAGTTAAATGTGGTGAAGGATGAAGAAGTATACATAGAAAGGATTCCCTACAGGTTCGTGTGTTTACAGCTAAACCTGGTGGGTCCCTAATAATGTCAAGTGCTATAAACATTGGCAGGGGGAGTCGAGAGCCAACACAGGTACAAGAGCAAACAACCTAGCTGGGCCCCCTCCCCCTTCTATCTTTTTTGTAACGTTTTTTTTAGGAATTTTGTTAAATTTACCCCAAATTAGAACAGAAAATAGTTTAAAAAATTATGTTTATATAATCAGCAGCAGCCTTTTTAGTTCATAATATGGTATTACTTTACTTTAGGACATAGCGCGCCCGAAAGTTATAAACAATTCAAACATTTAGATCTCCCTCTTGTGATCATCTTGAACCCCATATACAGTATACTAGGCGGAAATGGATAATAGCAACACAATTGAATTTAATTGAGACAAATCACTTTTGATTTTTTTCAAAGGAAGCAGCTTGGGTACGATTTTAATTTCATTGACCAGTCTCACATTAGCCGTGGTGGAGGTTGGTTGTCATTTGTTCTCTTACGTTTATTTTAAGTTTATTGCTGAGTTTTACGAGAAAGACGACCATTCTATCAAATTCTTACCTATCCCTGGTCCTTCCACTTTTAACTGAGATATTGTACTTTCGGTCATGGCGCGGAGGTCCGGGTGTTGAGCCCCCCCGGCTGGGGATTAGGTTGGGTTAGGTTTTGTTAAGTTAGACGACTCGTTTCCGTCCCCCCCCCCCCCAAAAAAAAAACGATTTCCTAGGCTCTCCTTCATTATTGTTGGGGGGAGGGGGACAAAAACGAGCCATTTCCGCCCCAAATGAAGGTCAGATCAGTTTAAAACACACCAAAATAGAATGGAAAAGCACATTGATCACCCCATAGGGACTCGTGTCCGTAAGTAAAAATTTACCCATAAATTCCATAATATATGTAAAATGATAAATAAAGTATCTTTAAAAAAAAAAAGCAAGAAAACGTTTTTATTCGAATTATTTTTCCAGTTATTCTTAATATATCAAACTTACATACACAGAGGAACACCAAACATTAAATGAAGCTAGAGGCTGAAGGTGATCGGCGGGTTTTACTGTTGGTAAACAGTTCAATACCGAAACTATGAATTGTTGTAATTATTATTTAATCATTTTTAATACCATCACTTTTGTTATTGTTTATAAATGACAGCCGAATTTAGCACACCTATGAAATACATCTTATTGTAAACGACAGCGATATGCCCGTCGCCAGCCAGCCGACAGGGCCCGAGAGAGTTCTTTGACTGTCGGGCCCTGATCCCTTCCTTACCCCTCTCCTCCCCTTTACCTCCCTCCTACCCTTTCCTTCCTTCTCCCCTTTCTTTCCTCCTCCCCTAACCTTCCCCTCCCCTTTGCTCCCTCCTCCCTTAACCTTCCCCTCCCTTTGCTCCTCCTCCCTTAACCCCTTTGCTCCGTCCTCCCTAACCTTCCCCCTCCCCTCCCTCCTCCCTAACCTTCCTCCTCTTTGCTCCCTCCTCCCTAACCTTCCCCTCCCTTGCTCCGTCCTCCCTAACCTTCCCTCCCTTTGCTCCGTCCTCCCCAATCCTTCCCCTCCCTTGCTCCCTCCTCCCTAACCTTCCCTCCCCTTGCTCCCTCCTCCCCAACCTTCCTCAACCTTCCCCTCCCTTTGCTCCCTCCTCCCCTAACCTTCCCCTCCCTTTGCTCCCTCCTCCCCAACCTTCCCCTCCCCTTTGCTCCTCTCCTCCCTAACCTTCCTTCCTCCTTAACCTGCTCCTCCTCCCCTTCCTCCCCTAACCTTCCCCTCCCTTGCTCCTCCTCCCTAACCTTCTCCCCTCCCCCTTCCTCCTTGCTCCCTCCTCCCCTAACCTTCCCCTCCCCTTTGCTCCCTCCTCCCCTAACCTTCCTTGCCCTCCTCCCCAACCTTCCTCCCTTGCCTCCCTCCTCCCTAACCTTCCTCCCTTTTTTGCTCCCTCCTCCTGTAACGCCCCACTAAGTTTCTGGAGACAAATCCGATAACCACTGGCTTTAATTTAAAAACAATTCAATATATTCAATAACAAGATAAAGACAACAAGTATGGCGTCTTATAACCCATTTCCTCTTTGTTCAACGTGAGTGTTAATCGTGTGTACAGTACGTAAGTTTGCCCATTAACTCATGATCTGCACTGAGGCTGCCTGGAGTACCACTGAGATGAAAACTTTTGTTTTACCAGAAAAATCTTGTAGACAAACATTGGCAGACGACAGACAATACTGATTACACTGTAGTACTTTTGATGTAATTATTTGCCCGAAGCTGTGATATGGCTACAGTAATGTTCGCTGATAAATCTATAGACAAAGTAGAATGAAAACCATATTGGTATTTATTTTAGGTATTGTGTTGACAACTCCCAAACTGTCTCGTGATGGCCAAGAATTTAATGATTCTCGGGAAACCTAACTCTAATGTAACCAAACCTAACCTATCTATCTAACTGCCTACCTAAACCCCAACTATAGTATAGTAGGCAGCTACCAAACAGGGAGGTTCTACCGTCAGAAGATATTGGAAGCATAATGTGTTGTCTAATGGTAGACCTGCTGCCATATGGCATCACAAAAATTGTGACCAAGTCCCGGTGTTGATGATCTGACTTTTGCCTCATTTAACACAGTTGCTGGGTCTCATCAATTGTTTCACTATGACAACACAACATACAGTACATATATTGTTTCTCACTTTGATCTTACTTTTCATTTTTGTATTTCTTTTTATGGTTGCTTATTATTATTATTATTTTATTTTATTTTCAATTTTGTATTATAAATTTTATTTTCTATGAATTATTACTATTATTATTATTATTATTAGTGTTATTATTATTATTATTATTTTATCGCCCCTGAGGCCTCTGATGGGGTCAGTGACTGTGCCCGGTGTTATTCCCTGTAAAAAAAAAAAGATCGCAATCTTGGCCATCGAAGGGTATGGGAGTTGATGATCATAATATCAATAGCCAATCTATAGTGCATAGGTGGTATAACTAATAAAAAGCTCAATGAGATCGAGGAGTGATTACTGCTTCATTACCATTAGGTCTCACATTCAGAGGTTCGAAGTTGTGGCTGGGTTGACAGAACACCCCTACTGAACCATCATGACGGAGGGTGAATACGGTGTCTGATTTGTCCTTAAAGTCAAGATTGTTTCAAAGTTCGTGGTAATAATCTACATCTACGTGGTTATTTTTTTTTTTGAGGGGGGGGCCTCAAAATCCCGCAAAATAATACCTTGTATTGACCCTGATATATTTTGATAGTGACTGAAATAATTGTCTACTGAACCCAAAACAGCTAATGATCCTGAAATAGGTTAATAACTACGATATCGTCCTCATAATTGAAGTACTAACCGCACTAGACATCGTAAAGGTCTGTTCGTCACTAAACCAACTGTAGAGTATCTGATCTGGGAGAAGGAGCTCATTGTACTAGACAGGGACTGTCTAT